ACTCACCAAGTTCGTAGAGAACGAGGGGAGGTAAAGACCTGACAGGGAGCCGGACGGGGCCGCCGTGCACGGTAGGACAGTGGAGTAGTGGGCAAGGACAGGACCCCCAGAGGGGTCTGCCAGGGAGACTGCAACCGGCCGACTAAGCGGCGTGAGTGTGGTGCGGTCTCGAAAGAAGGAGCGGGAAGCACCCGAGTCAAGGGTGAAGGTGTGTACGACCGCAGCAGGCACAGTACCAGAGAGAGCAGACTCACCAGCACCTGGAGCAGTAGACTCACGAGCACCTAGAGCAGCAGCCTCACCGGCACCTGGAGCAGGAGACGTACCAGCACCTAGAGCAGCAGCCTCACCAGTACCTATAGCAGCAGACTGGATACCGGGGTCAGGTGGCACACACAGGTAACAGGCACCCTCAGCACTAGTAGGCAATGCATACATGGCAGTGAGGATAGCATCATAGTCAAGAGCATAGATATCTACCCTCTGCCTAAGCAGCTCCACCCAGTCGGGGAGCTCAGCCGCGTCGCCAAACTCTGTACGCCAGGCGTCGCTCAGACGGGCGAAGCAGCGGGACTCTGTGTGACCAAACGTCCCGCAAGGCTGACCAGTCCGAGCACCAGTGCGAATGACGTACGAGCAGCGAGCAGTACCCCGTGACCCTCCACGCTGAGCGTACCACTCACGAAGCTGCTGGGGCGAAAGGGCCGCGCGCAGACGACGCTGCAGCTGCACCTGGCCACTACAAGAAACTCCTGAACTACTCACTCCAGGACGACTCCCACTACGGCCACCCCGACAACCCCAACTAGCGTACCACTCACGAAGCTGCTGGGGCGTGAGGGACTCACGCGGACGTCGCTGGAGCTGCATCTGGGAACCGCCAGGAGCAGCAGTAGCAGTAGTAGCCGCAGTAGCAGCAGTAGCAGCAGTAGCAGCAGTAGCAGCGCGGCCACCCCTACAACCCCAACTAGCGTACCACTCACGAAGCTGTTGGGGCGTGAGGGACTCACGCGGACGGCGCTGGAGCTGCATCTGGCCACGCCAGGAGCAGCAGTAGCAGTAGAAAGAGCAGTAGCAGCAGGAGCAGCAGTAACAGCAGTAAGGGCAGGGCAGTGCTCACCAGTGGCGAGAAGGGCAGGCGTACGACGGCGGCAACGGCGAGGCCGCTACCACTGCAGGGCGAGGGCTCCGCGGCAGCTGCAAGGGCGGCTGCTCCAGGGGCCAGGGGCGGCTGCTCCAGGGGCCAGGGGCGGCTGCTGCAGGGGCGGCTGCTCCAGGGGCCAGGGGCGGCTGCTGCAGGGGCGGCTGCCCCAGGGGCCAGGGGCGGCTGCTGCAGGGGCGGCTGCTCCAGTGGCCAGGGGCGGCTGCTGCAGGGGCGGCTGCTCCAGGGGCCAGGGGCGGCTGCTCCAGGGGCCAGGGGCGGCTGCTGCAGGGGCGGCTGCTGCAAGGGCGGCTGCTCCAGGGGCCAGGGGCGGCTGCTGTAGGGGGGGGGGCAGGGGCGGCCGTCCGAAGGTCGGGCGCGGGTTAGGGCAGGGCGCCGCGGCGGGCAGGGGCGACGCTGCGCGGGTCCCGCAGGGGCGTCGCGACGAGCGGGGGCGACGCCCGGGTCCCGTTCGGGCGTCGCGACGTGCAGGAGCCGCGCCTCGCGGGTCCCGCAGGGGCGTCGCGACGAGGCGGGGGCGACGCGCGGGTCCCGCTGAGGCGTCGCGACGAGGCAGGGGCGACGCGCGGGTCCCGCGAGGCGTCGCGACGAGGCAGGGGCGACACCCGGGTGGCGACGGGACGGGGCCGCGACTGGCGACGGGGCGGGGCCGCTACGGGCAACGAGGCGGGGCCGCGACGGGGCCGCTAAGGGGCCGCGAAGGGGCCGCGAAGGGGCCGCGAAGGGGCCGCTAAGGGGCCGCGAAGGGGCCGTGAAGGGGCCGCGAAGGGGCCGCTAAGGGGCCACGAAGGGGCCGCGAAGGGGCCGCTAAGGGGCCGCGAAGGGGCCGCGAAGGGGGGCCGCGACGGGCCTCAGGAGCAGGGCAGGCCGCTAAGGGGCCGCGAAAGGGTAGGGCAGGTCAGAGCGCGAAGCGCGCTTCGGGCAGGTTAGGGAATTTTTTTTTTTTTAATGGTGGGCCCTTAGGAAGAAACGGTCCCACTAGGGAACCCGCTCTATACCATGTGATAATTACGAGGAATGGATTGACTAGGAATGAGGAGGGTACAAGTATGAAACCCTAAGAAAGATGTACCCCATATTGTCTACCCCACTACAGCCTACATAGGCTATATCATATAAGTCTGACAGGGGGAGCCACGCGGCGAGCCCCTCTTACGAACCCCCGTTTTACAAAGGGAGGGGGGTGAGAGAGGGATGAGGAGAGGAGGTGGGGGGAGCCACGCGGCGAACCCCTCTTACGAACCCCCGTTTTACAAAGGGGGGAGGGTGAGAGAGGGAGGAGAGGAGGTGGGGGGGAGCCTAGCGCGGCGAGCCCCTCTTACTAACCCCCTAATTCCACGCCCCCTTTCAGCCACCCCCCTCAACCTCACTCCGCTTGTCAACCGCCCCCTGAAACCTCACACCTTCCCCCCCACCCTTCCTCCAACGCCTTCCCCACCCACGGTGGCCCCTGCTCAAGCCTTCACACGGCGGCCAGAAGCCTGCCACCCCCTTACCCTCCCCCCCACAGCGGCACGTGCGGCAGTGAGAGAGAGAGGAGGAGGGGCGGCAGCTGGGTGCTCACACCCGCCACCCCTTACCCACCCCCCCACTGTTGCACGCACAGCAGGGAGAGAGAGGGGAAGGCGAGCGGCAGCGGCAATAGCTCCTCCCGCCACTCCCACCACTCCCACCACTCCATCCTCCCCCCCACAGCAGCATGTGCGGCCGTGAAACAGAGGAGGCAGGGTGGTGCCGTTGGTGCCACCTCCCCCTTACACCACCTCCCCCTCCCCCCAAACTGATGCACACGCAGTAGGGAGAGGGCAGAGAAGGGAGGGGGGGCGAGGTGCGCGATCTGGTGGGGCGGGCGCGGATGGGCAGGGCGCACGAGGCGCCGGGCAGAAACCGCCGCTGCAGTAGGAGCAGCAGAATGGGGAAAAAGAGGCGGAGGGGGGGGGGCTGCTGGCTTGGTGACGAAGCAGAGCAGCGGGGCGCTGGAGGTGCAACCACCCCACCGCCACTCCTGCGTCCCCCCAACACCCTCCCCCCCTCCCCCCCCCCCCCAAAACTTCTGCACGCGAAGCAGGAGAGGGAGGAGGAAGCGGGCGGCGGGGCGGTGAGCAGGGCGTAGGCGACGGCGGGGAGGTGAGGCTGGTGCAGCTCCGCGCGCTTGTGCTGGCGCTGGTGCTGGCACGGGCGTTGGGGACTGGCGGCTCCGACCACCACTAACCCCCTCGATGCTGCCTGCTCCAGTCGCGGCTGCAGCGGCGGCGGGCTCGTACGAGCGGGGAGCTGCAGCGCAGCGGCGGCGGGCTGCAGCAGCGGCGATCGCGGGCTGCGGATGAGGGCTGCGGCGTACGGGCGGTTGCAGCAGTGCGCGTGCTTGCCTGCGACGGGGCCCCCGCGCGACGAGCAGAAAACCGTCGCACGCTGGGGGCGAGCGACGGGCAGAACACCGTCGCATGCTGGGGGCGCGCGACGGGCAGAAACCGACGCACGCCCGGGGCGTGCGACGGGCAGAAACCGCGACGCGCTCAGGGCGTGCGACGGGCAGAAAACCGCCACACGCCCGGGGCGTGCGACGGGCAGAAACCACCACGCGCTCGGGGCGCGTGACGGGCAGGGGCGCTGCATGACGGGCAGCGCGACTGGTGGGCCCATGAAAATTTGGTCCTGGGAAGGACCAGCTCTGATAACATGTTGATATAGGTTCTTAACTTAGTAGGCTTAGTAGCCTAGGGTTTAGTTAGAACGAGAGTAGCAAGGGTGAGGTCGAGGGTGTTGACCAAGGGAGAAACAAGAATGTGTGTTCACTATGAGAAGAGTTACAAGTTATAGCAAGCCAAAGGGTGCACCACCTAACAGGACAGCAATAGAACTACACTACAGCTAGAACTACATGCAGTTTTACAGAAATATATTCTGACAGATTATATTAAAAGATAAATCACACACACAAAATAGATCTAACTAGCCATGCACTCTAAGGGGTACATTCCCTTATTATAACAATTTTACAGGCATTGCTACCGTTCACTAACAGGGCCCAAAATAGGTTTTAGCTCACTCTTTCAAATCAGGGTGGTAGGCCCCCCGTACCCTGACTGTTAGGGTAATTTTTCTCGTACACTGATTGTAGCAGCCTAAAAGTTCTGGTACGCTGATTTCAGCAGGGTAATATATCCCATACTCAGTTGCCTTCCTACGCACAAATCTTTACTACACCAACAGTTACAACTCACTAAAGTGTTGTGCACACAAGCTTTACTATCTAGATAAATAAACCATCCTAAAGCCACTAGTCAACGTCTGCTGCACTAGCAACTGCCTCGTTCGCAAATTGTGCAGTGCTGGCCTTCAAGCCGGAGAAGTCCTTGGTGGATCGCCTGAGCTTCTCACCGCGGACTATGGCGACCACCTCGTACCAGTCTATGTCGTACTGCAGGAGGGAGCACCGCATCAGGTGCTCAAGGCTTGTGTCGCCGAGGCTGCCGCGGTCCCACGTCTTGATCAGGTTCAGCTTGCTGAAGCCGCGCTCACATTCAACCGTGCTCAGTGGTAGCACGGCGACAGACTGCCACATCCGGACGATGTTGGGAAACGAAGCACGCCACGCCTCGTCGCGCAGCATGTTCCCCAGCGCCTGATGAAACTCCTCGCCGTTGTGCTGGGAGAACATGGTCGAGGTAAACATCCAGAGCTCCTGGCCGGCACGCTTGTAGTCGAACCCTGGTAGTGCGGAAGGGGTTGAGGATTGGCATATGCTCATACATACGGGTAGGAGTGGGAGGCATTAGTCCAAAAATACAGGGCCGGGTGATGAGCAGCAACAAGCGCAATAGGAAACAAGCTGGTGCTAAGTTGTTGCCGGCAAGTCAATCTCAAATACCCGACACATCAGACAATCACGCTTACCAGGCAGCTTGTGGTTGTACAGCTTGTGGAGCTGGCCAAGCCACTTCCTGAAGGACTCCAGCCGCTTGGTGTCATCGGACACATACGACGCCGTCCGAAACAGCTTGGCGCCTTCCAGGAGGTTGAGGTCGCGCATGCGCCACTCCAGCTCCTCGTCCACTTTGCGGATGAACTTGAGCGAAAGCTCAAAGCACGCGGTTACATCACCCTCAGTCTCATGGCCTGGCAGGGGGCGTTCGTGCAGGGTGAATTCGAAGGAGACGGCGTTGCCATCCGCGTCCACGCCTTCCGCTTTCATTTCACGCTTATCCAGCTTCTGGTGAGCCTTGATGAAGTCAGGCAGCTGCATCTTCTCTCCGCTGCCAAAGGAGTGACCAGGGGACCTGTCGAAGTAGCGCATCTTCAGGCGCATCCGCGTCTGTTGTACAAGGTGCGCCACGAGGGTGACGTCCACCTGCACACATACAAAACATGAGGTCAGAACGAGAAGTACAGGCGTGCGTGTAAGTACATATTTGCTTGTCAGTATGTTACCTGACGTTGCTGAAAGCGGAGATTGAGTTGGTTGAGCTCCCGAAGCACATCCGCGAGGAAGCGGATGAGCCAGTGGAACTTGAACGAGGTGACTACCTCGTACAAGTCTTTCTTGTAATCCTTCAGCACGACGATGGCTGCAGGCAGAACGTCAAGGAACCGCTGGATCGCCTCGCCACGGGAGAGCCAGCGCACGTCGTGTATGCCCTGCGCCTCCAGATTCGTCTGGCAGCAGACGCGCTGCAGATTCTGAAACTTGGTGTAATCCACACTGCTGCGGCCGATGTGCTCGGAGAAAGCACGCACCACGTCGTCCACCATGCCGAGCTCGAGGACTGCCTCCGCGGCATCCTTAGCTGCCAATGCCTCCCTGCGCATTCAAGTAGAGCATGTCACAACGTTACTTAGTCGCATATCTGGTTCTTAAAAAAACTCAAATTAAACCTCCGTACCTGTGAGCGACGCAGTGAGTCGAAGCCAAGTGTGGAATGCGCAGTCTAAGCCTCGCCACGACCCCGTTGTTCTTGCCGGTCATCACACTGGCCCCGTCCGTAGATATTCCGGAAATCTTCTGGAGATCTACCCCGATTCCTGTAAGGTACTGCACAACAGCGGAGGTTAGCGAGGCCGCATCGGCACGGTCCACGGTAATCAGAGTTAAGAACTCTGTCACCGGTGCGGTCCCTTTGAAGAATGTCGCATACAGAATCAGGTGCTTGCCATTCACCCGGTCGGTGCTCTCGTCGAGACAGATCCCTATCCATGGGGATTCCAGCAGGTGGCCGCGTTGAGTCTCTAGGTGGCGCGCAGCATCTCTTTGAATCCGTAACTGCGAGGACAAAACACATGGCACACGAACACACATTGCATTAGCATCTCGTCAGCTTGAGTCATGGAACAAACACAAGCGCCAGAAACCGCACTTACTCGGTGTAGTAGGCGCCGTACCCTCCAGACGGAGGAAGGTCCGGCATTCCTTCCTTAGCCAAAAACCAGCACAATGGAACAAACATGGCTATTGGTGCGTCAGCCTTGCAGATGAAGAGCGCGATGTGGAGGCAGCGGATGATGTGCCGTGTAGCTGCGTCGGTGCTCTGCCACCTTGTTAGTGTGACTTGCTTCGCCTTTTCCGCGTCTGCTTTGGCCTCGTTTTCCAAGGCCTGTTTGTGGGCTCTGCTGGATGTGTGTGCGCGGATGCTCCCGAGCTGCATGTCTCGCGCACCCTCACCTCTGACGCCGTAGGCAGTGTGCGCGTTTGGATCTCCGTGCTTGATGCAGATGGCACATTTCAATGACGGCCTGCCGTTAGTCATACGCATTAAGCGAAGACATCTGAATTTACCAGACCATTGGGAATCGAAAGTTGCTTTTACCGCTTCGTACTCAGCTTCTGCTGCAGCGGTTGGAGGCTTCGGCTCGGCAGGAGCAGCACGGCGTGGTGATGATGCCGCTTGTCGTGGAGGAGGGGCGCCCCAGAGCCTCTGCTGCTTGTATGTCCCGCCCACACGCTGTCGCTTCACGGGCGCTGAGCTAATTGTGGACGGGGCTGCAGTGGCTGGCTTCGACGGGCCTTCGCCGCCATCGGGAACAAGCTCGACAGACGGGTGTGGCTCCCGGGACTTTGGCGAGGCTGAGCGCTCGCACGGGAAAACGGTGCCGACAAGACATTCAGGGGATGGCTCACGCGCAGGCTGAGAGATAGGAACGCTATAGTTCTCAGCCAGCCGAGGTAACACACCGAGAACGGAGAGACCGTTCCTGGTGCTACCAGGCGGATCTGGCTCTGAGGCAGGCATTCGGAACAACAAACGAGAGGGAAGCGAGAGAATGGCGAGAGTCTGAGAGACCCCTTGGGAATCACAAAGCCCAAGGGGCCTCAGGCAGCACGGTTCCCGCTCTGGTAGGGAACTGCATGGCATAGGATGCAAGGCCACAATGACTGCCAGGTGGTGGAAACGACAGCACGTACCCCACCTGGCGCGCAATTTGGCAACGTTGGCAGTGAGCGGTGCTTCGGGAACGCACGGAAACCGGGTGCGCTGGCTTTGATGTTGCTCAACGGACCAATCGTAGGTGTGCGCGGGCATCCCTACTGAATTTGCGTTGGCGCGCCAGTGGGTGTATCGAACAAATGGTCCAGTGGGACCGTGGTGCATTTTGTCGTGGCGCGTACTGTGGCGGAATCCGCGGTACAACAGAGTTCCGGTAAATGGGTAGTTGAACCCCTACCCTGATACAGTCAGTGTAACAAAAAAAACTACAAGAGTACCTTTTAGCGTATCCTGATTTCACTAGGGTAAAAATCTCCATACCCTGATTTCAAAAGGGTAACTGCGAAAAAGTGGCCTATCATCAGGGCAAAAAGGGTAAAATACCCTTGAAATTTGGGCCCTTTTCACTAAGGAACTAAGCAAAGCTACGATCACTCCTAGTAGTTCGTCCCAACCCCCCGTTGTCTAGCTCACTACCTTTGTCGAGTGACTCTCTGCATGGTGCGGTGAGCGTTGACGGCCCCGCATATTACCTTCAGATATGAGCAGAGTTTTTCACCTACTAAGTCGTTCGTAGGCCGACAGCAGCGTTAGTCGCCATACGGTCGACCCCGTAGTTGATACGAGCATAGCGGACACCTTGGAGGCACGTTTGGCTGACGCGAGGAAACGCCAGGCGGATGGGGAGGACGAGACGATCCCCTTGATGATCGCCGAGTTGGGCATCCGGTCGCAATAAGCGACGGAACACCCTTCCCGTCCTGCATCTCCTCGACCGGTGCGAAACGAAGGTGGCGTCGATGACGAGGTCGAAGGTGGTGCACGAGACAGCGGCAACGAAGGCACGAAGCAGAGAGGGGTGATCAAGGTCGACGGTGGCGTCGACAGGATTCAGGCGCGAGTGCAGCGGTCGACGGCGGCTGCAGGCAGCTCGCGTGTTGATGTCGATAGTCGACGTCGATCTCCTCTACGAAGCGGTGGAGGGCTCTCGGCGACGACGCACGTGACGGCGGGCGGGATCGCACCGGCGTATGGCTACTTCAAGTTCTCGCCGGACCGGATCACCATCGCACCGCTGCAAGGTATGTCAAACATTATACATGTTTATATTGTGTAGGCTATAGTGGGTTTGGCCTTAGAGGGTACAACATTGCTAGGGTTTCCTACTTGTATCACCCTGCTGCCTAGTTTCATCCATTCTCGTTCAGTTCTACATTCTAACATGGTATCCGACGCCTAGGTCAGGACCTAGGACCGACGTTGGTTAGGGCCCACCGTTCCGTCGCGCCCTTGCGCCCCTTCTAACGCCGTCGAGCGCCCCTCCTAGCGCGCCGTCGAGCGCCCCTCCTCTCGCGCCGTCGAGCGCCCTACCTAGCGCGCCGTCGAGCGCCACTCCTAGCGCGCCGTCGAGCGCCACTCCTAGCGCGCCGTCGAGCGCCCTCTCGGGACCGCCGCGCGCGTAGCCGCCCGCCCGTCGCAGCCGCACGTTAGGCCGCCCGCGCAGCCGCACGATTAGGCCGCACGCGCAGCCGCACGTTAGGCCGCACGAGCAGCCGCACGTACAGCCGCACGCGCAACCGCACGCACGGCCGCACGGCCGCACGGCCGCCCGCACGACTGCCCGCACGACCGCACGCACGGCCGCACGGCCGCACGCACGCACGACCGCGCGCACGCACGGCAGCTTGCACGGCCGCACGCACGCACGGCCGCACGCACGGCCGCACTCACGCACGGCCGCACGCGAGGCCGCACGGCCGCACGCACGCACGACCGCGCGCACGCACGCACGGCCGCCCGCGCGACCGCACACCGCCGCGCCGCCCTGCCCGAGCCGAGCCGCGCCGCGCCGCCTTGCCCGAGCCGCCCCGCGCCGCCCTGCCCGAGCCGCGCTGTGCTACTGCTGCTGCTACTCCTACTACAGTTCGTATTGCTCCTACTGAAACTATGGCTAGTCCTGCAGTGCTAGCTTTCAATGCTGAGGGCCGCCCGCTGCGTTTTGACACCTGGCTCGAGGACCTCTATCTGTTCCTCCAGCTCACTGCTAAGGAGGATATTTCGCTGTATGACCATGCGTTAGGCCTCGCTCCTGCCCCTGCTGCGACTGTTGATAGTACTGCCCGCTCACAGTGGCAGACTCGTGACGCCCACTCTCGCTTCGCCATTCGCAACTCCCTGCTGGTAGATGAACGCGAGCACTTTAGCAAGCAGAAGACTGCTCAGTCACTGCACACTACTGTAGTTGCGCGCTACTCCTCGCCTGCCTCTGCTTCGCTAGGCCGCCTCTCACTGCCCTATCTGTTCCCAGACCTGTCCGCCTTCTCTACCGTCGCTGACCTCATTACTCACCTCCGCACTACTGAGATCCGCTTCCGTGCTGCCATGCCCGCTGAGTTTCTTGCCAAGAACCCCCCCCCGCTGTGGCTCACTCTTTACCACCTGGTCACCCGTCTCCCTGACTCCCTTCGTGCGGTCAGGGACACCTTCCTTGCTCTCTGCCCCACCGAGCTCACCATTGACCTGCTTGAGAAGCACCTGCTGGCAGCTGAGACTAGCATAGTCGCTGTCGGTGCGTCTCGCGGCGACCCCCGCACCCCTTTCTTCGAGGGGTGTTCCCCCTCCCCTCTTCTCCCCTCTGTTGCCTCTGCTGCTGCTGTCGACCTTCTTGGTGCTCAGAAGGTCGGGACTGCGTCCACTGCGAGTGCGGGGCGCCGCAGCGGCAAGGGCAAAGGGGGCAAGGGGGGCGGCGGTGATGATGGGGGAGGCGGTGGTGGGGGCGGTGGCGGCGGTGGGGGTGGTGGCGGGGCTGGAGGGGCCAGTGGCAGCGGTGGGGGTGGTGGCGGCAGCGGCGGGGGTGGTGGCGGCAGCGGCGGGGGTGGTGGCGGCAGTGGTGGAGGAGGTGGCCGGGGTTGGGGTGGTGGTGGTGGCGGCAGTGGACGCGGTGGCGGTGGTGGCGGTGGTGGCGGTGGTGCTCGTGGTGGCGGCGGCGGCGGTGGAGCTCGTGGAGGCTCTGGCGGTGGCCAGCGCCAGCAGCAGACCCTGTCGCCCCAGGAGCTTCGTGAGTGGTACTCTCAGCGTGGGGGGGGTGGCCTTAGCTGCCCGTACGTCATCCGCACAGGTGACCGCACTGGTCAGACGTGTGGGAGGGCGCACACCCAGCAGCGCTGCTTCTCCCGCCTCGACGACGCCTGGCGCACTCAGTTTCCTGCTGCTACTGAGCTGCCCCGCTGGTTTGATCTGATCAAGAAGAACACTGATGTCTATGCTCTTGACTTTGATGCTATCCTTGGTGACATGTATGTGTTGTCTGCTAGTGGAGAGGGTGACTGTTACCTGCGTGTCCCGCCCGACCCGGGCATTAGGACCAGTGAGGCTGCCGCACTAGGT